TTCATGGCAGGATATGGAGGGCAGAAGGGGGAAGGAAGGGGTTTTCTGTGTGAAAGCAAAGAGAATGTGACAAATCTGAGCTGAAATTGTGGCATTTTTGGTCTGCGGTAGAGGTTGGTGGGCAGGTGCATGGGGTCAACCTCAAGTATGGACCTTGGCATGGGAGCAGTGAGTGAGGACATGGGAGGAGGGATAAACTCCATAAAACAGCTGAATTCCTCTCTTTTTGCCCCATAATTGATTTTTTTAATTGGTTATTTTGGGGTACTTCGATGCAAGGCCGTGCTCTGCCCTGTGGCTGTAGGGAAATATACTAGGTGAATAGGGGTATTTCCTGTATGTGGGAAAGGATACAGAAGACCTCATCTAGGTCATTAGCCACAAAACCTGATTAGCCACAAATATGAACTCAAAGCCCACAGATCCCACGTTCTCATCAAAATCGTAGCCAGAGAACATAAGTGAGGCTGAGAAGCACGTGCGGAGCTTTAAGCAAACACTGCCATATTTTGAAATATATATATATATAAACACAATCATACCAGGTTTTATTATTAGCCCAGAAATAAGAATAAATAGTCATTTGGGCTGCTTAAGTTCCCCAGCAGAGAGGAAAATGGTGTTGGGCTGATGGCTCCATGGAGCCCTGAGCCAAGGATCGAATCCAGAGAGGAGCAGTGATTTTGTTCTGCAGCAAAAACAATTAAGCTCCAAGCCTTGAGATGAAACAAAGCCCTGAAGGGAACTCGTAGGAACCAACAGGATTTTTCTCCTGTCTTCCATAAAATGGGGTTTTGCTTTTAAATAACCATTGTGAACAGCTGCTGCCTTCGTGCCCTGAGCTGCAGCATCCATCCCATAGAGTTGTCCCCATGACCTGGCTCCTCACCCGGGCTACACTGGCATCTCAATCTGCCAAAAAAATGAGAGCCAAAGGGGAGTGAAATGAGAAAAAAATTCCCATCTGTGTGAAAATAATTACATCTCCCCCATGAGCTCATTCTGGTTTTACGAGTTTTTCCAGCTGTGGGCTGGAATACAAGGCCTGTGCCTATCTCAGGTATTTTCTGCCTCAGGTTCTTGAACTTGCAGCACGGATCCCTCTGAATCGTGGAGATAAATGGGGTTTACACCAACATTATCCCTCATGGCAAAGGTAGTGTTTTCAAGGAAGATGCCAGCATTTGAAAATAGAAATCGTGGGCTGTCAGCACGGTGAGGAAGAGGTGAGGAAAATGCTGATATAGTGAAGTAAAGTAATTTGTGTGAGCAGCTTGTCCTGCTGGATATCCATCCATGAGTTAGAAGTGCTGTGTGTCCCTCCCTCCAACCACACCACAGAAAGAGTGGGATCCCAAGGGGATGTAATCCCCCAAATCCATCCCCAACACTTTGGCACTGAAATACATAAAAATATCAATTGGGTTTCTACAGCTCAGCTGTGAGCTCCCTACATTTAACCTGCAAAGCCTGCGTCCACTTGCTTTTTTCTGCCTTTTCCTTCTTCATCTAACCTTGCACGATGGGAACAACCAGTGCAGCTCAATTTGTTTGAACTTTGGTTATATTTTTAGCATCCTACTTCTTTCATATTCCCAGTCGTACTGGCTGAATCACGATGGCAAAGACAATGTCCTTTATTATATTGTGGAAGGGTGTTTTTTTTTCTTTTTTCTTTTTTTTTTTTTCTGCTCTTTATTTTTCTAAGTTCACAGGAGGCAGGAAGTTCCCAAATTTCGCTCCCAGCCGCTTCATACGGTGTCACTCCAAGTGCCAAAGATCACACTCCTTCTCCTCTGCTCCCAGTCTTTCTTTCTCTCCCCTTTCTCAGAACAGCAAAGCAGGAAGGGTGAGGGCCAGGAAAATCTGAAATGATTTTCCCCTTGTTTTGTAACGAAACTTAAAAAACAACAACGAAAAAGAAAAAGGACAAGACAAGAACATCAGTCAATCATGTACCTTGGGCCTGGGCCAAATCAAATTAACTCCTGGGCAGTTTGTTCCATGTGAAGATGACAACAGCACTTCCATGTGCTACGCTCGCCATCGCCGCGCTGAGATTTCCTCTCCTAGGATCCATTTCTGTGCAGAATTTCCACCACGGTGATGACTTGGATCAGACCCCTGTTGCTGGCAGCTCTTAAAATCAAAGCTGTTGTTATTAGCACTGGTCAAAACATTTTTTTTTTTTTTTTGAGTAACTGGTGAGAAACGGTTGCATTTCAGAAATATTGCTGCAGTTGGGGATAACAAGGTAGAAACGTCCCACGAAATGAAATTTTCAATAGTAATAATGATGATAATAATAGTAACTAATTTCAAAAAGTTTGATTGTCTCCTTTATTCTTTAGAAGAACTTCACTTGACTCGTGCTGCCCGCTCTATACACTGCGTGAATGAACCTCAGACGTGTTTTACCTATAGGATACGTAATCCCACAAAGAAGTCAATCTCAAATTGAGGAGAAGAAAGGAAAATTGGCATTACAGTCCTGCAATCTCTTGTGGAGAACAGAGTATTGTGCTGGAGAGCTCGTGTGTAACTCACCTCTTCCATTTGGGGCTGGAGTTTAGCACTGATGATGCCGTGCCCTCATTGCCTGCTTGAAGTCTTCCTGCTGTGAGGGGCAGTTATTGCAATAAAAGAGGCTTTCAAGCAGAATTTGTTGGGTAGGGTGACTCCATCCATTCAGGTGAGGTGCTCTGTCCCTATGAAATCTCAGTTCTCTAGGAACAATTTTATATTATGTCTGTGATTTGTGAATGAGAAAGCCATACGAACACTGCATAGGAATAGTATTCAGTATTGGACAGAAATTATTTATAATAGTTATTAACTACAAAATAGCTGTGAAACTCAGCTTTTAAGCGTAGCATCTGTACTACTCCCAGAGCTCTACTCTTGCAAGAGCAGAAATGGGAACTTTCTTTTTGGAAGCATATAATTCACTGTTTATCTGCAATTTTTTTTTTTGGTCAGTTCAAATTGAATGCTGCTTCCTTTGCTGTTTTTGCTCCTAGAAAATGGAGTGGGTGGGTTCATCACTCAGTAGGTGCATGTGTTCAGAAAGTGATTTGGGGATTACTGCTTAAACCAAAATGTCAGACAGAATCATCAAGTTTGGAAAAGACCTCTATGATCATCAAGTCCAACCATTGACTCATCACCACCATGCCCATCCATAGAGTCATTCAGGTTGGAAAAGACCTCTATGATCAAGTCCAACCATCACCCCCCACCACCATGTCCACTAAATCATGTCCCTAAGATGGTGACACCCATCTCTACACCCTCTTAGTGAGACAACCAAATGGCACTTGGACAGCGAGGTGCAATGTTGTGCTTGTTGGGCATGACCATGATCACAATGAGGTTCAATGAAAGAGCCAGACACAGAAAAACTCCTTAAATTCGACATTTTATTTCATTGCAGAAGAAAATCCAACATAGGCCTCATTATGTTATGCATCTTCAATTATAAAAATAAGCAAAGAAAATAACTTGCATCTTTCTCATTACTATGATATGTTTCAAATAACCTTTATATGAACACACTGAGCTTTAAAAATGTAATTTAAACAATAAATAATGACATATACCAGATATGCTCACTGTTTATTCCAGTACTCAGCAAAAAAAAAAAACCAAAAACAAAAAACCAAAACTCTCTCCCCCTTCTAAGTATCTTTAAATTATAAATACATAATGCAAATTTATAATGGCACAAAACATCTAAAGTGCAAACAAATCACAATGAGAATCATGCAAACATTTCTAGATAAGCCCCTCCCCGCCTCCGAGAGAAATAATTTCTGCAGTGAACGCAAGATTAAAAAAATAAAGCATCAGAGATTAAATAAAGAGTGAAATAGCTGGACTTACTGTTGAGAATCATTCCCCATCTCCAGGGGGATTTCTCTCACCTAATTCAGACCATCCCCATGGGGCACCGTTCCCAGTCGATGGGAAGTGCCACCATGTCCCCCTCTGCTGATAAGGGAGAGTTTAAGTGACCAGCTTAGGCTAAAAGTTTGGCAAGGTGAACCCCAAGTCTTTGGATTTTACAGCTCTGTGCTTGCAGCTTCCTCACTGAATCATTAATGTTGGAAAGACCACTAAGACCATCTAGTCCAACCACCAACCCATGCCTGTTGGCATGGTCAAACAAGCTTAGGTTCCCACTGAAAAAAAAAGTGAGGAGAACCCAAAAAGATGGGGCTTGGGCTCCTGCTCCCCAACCTTAAGTCAACTTCGTAAAGCTTTGGGTTTTCATAGAAGTGCTGCACAAAGCAGCAGAGAAGCCAACTGCCACCAGAGCATCTAGACGAGCTCATTGAGCTCTACTGGCATCAGCCCATGGGGAACTCAGCTGGGAGCTGCTTCCTATTGCCCAGAGCCATCCTGTTGGGACACTCCAACCAAGTGATATCTTTTTGGAGCAACTGCCTCCCCCAGAATACATGCACTCAATGCACAGCCCCAGCAGATCTCCCAGTTTTCTAACATTCCCAATGGTGCAATGCTGCACAGCTCACAGCCCCGGGGCCAGATCTTCAGCAAAAGTCAAACTTTTAGGGTCATGATGTTCAAAGGGACTTCGGTTTTCACCTTGCAAAACTTTACGGTGTCGGACTCTATATACACCTGACTTTAAGAACGAGCAATATTGCATCTTGTTTGTCCTGGACTGCACGATTCTGAGTACTCAAAAACAAAACAAAACGAAAACCCCAACCCTCTACCGTCAGCAACATTTTTTGCTGCTTACAATTTCATGACAGCACTTTTGGGCTACATTTAATGAAGACAGCAGTATGAGCAATGCTGCCACTGCATCTGGTTTCAATATATTAGCAGCAAGTTATTGTTTAAAGGCTTTGTGGTTTGAAAAAAAAAAAAAAAAAAGAAAAAGAAAAAAAAAAAGAGGAAAAGGAAAAAAAAAAAAAAAAAGTTATATTGCTTTAGATTTTTGAAAAGAAAAAAAAAATAGATACCTCCTTTCTTAGCTCTCTAACTAGTTGAGCAAGAGTCATCCACGCCGCAGACAGGCTCCAGCGGGACAGAGTTTGGAGCTGGCCGTGCTGATCGCGTGCCACAAAGGGCTACTGTGCAGAGAGCGGCGTCGGGGGAAGGCCCCCATCCGCGGCCGTGGGACCGGCCCTGGTCCTGTTCGCGGAGGCTGCGGGAGAGATGGGTGGGAGGAAAGGCAGGTCTGAGAGCTTCATGCATGCGCCTTGCTTTGCTGCAGGAGCTTATGATATTTTTTCTCCGGATTTCTCTTTTCCTGCCTTTCCCCAGAACTGGCCTTTTCTATGGGAAGTTTTGCCTTTGGGATCCCAAAGAACCGCCTGGCGTTCCCCCCAGCAGCTCTCCAGCAGCCTTGGGTACAGCTATGGCCACTCTGAGCTCGTTTTGCTTTTCTCTTCCCCATTTCACCTACGAAGAGAGGTTTGTTTCTGGCCAAACGTTTTCTCTCTTCTGTTATAAAAAGGCCACAGAGTAGAAGGTGAATTCTTGAATATGACAGAGATACTATTTCCAGGAAAAAAAAAAAGAATAGCTAACTTACAAAACTAAGTTTATGCAATAAAGTTATTATATTCTGCTCCTGTCAAGCAGACTCTCATGGAATTTATGTACAGTACATGACAGATTTTAAAACTATTTATACCACAGTTAGAGCAAGACCTTTAATACTCTTGTCTTAAGACAGGGTTTGTTTTTGTTAACTTCTCTTAAAGCTTTAGACAGTTAAATACAGTACATAGATGTTAGCTTTTAAATACAATGCAATATTATGTAACCTTCTGACTAGCTTTAACCATAGACTGGCACCGCTTTTAATCATTTCCGTAGTACAAAATGTTCCTTTCCTGATTTGCTGTGTGTCGGGGGAGTAGGGGGGGTCATTTGGGCTCATTTTGCACTGTGGTGCCAGGTCATGGTAATGAGAATCACCCACAGCTGGTGAGTTTGGAAAACCAACCAACGGGTTCGTAAACCAACGAGTTAACGGAGCTGTGTTGGAAGAATTAGGACTGCATGACGCTAAGAGACCAGGAATATGACATTCATATTCGTCCATGGCCAGCACAGATTCATAACACGAATTCCACTGACATCATTAGGATGTGCAATAGTTGTTAGTGCATCTATCATCACCTACCAGCTTGCTACGAGCGAGAATCAGCGATTCTCCTGGGTGCCAAATCTTCAGACCTCAACGGTGTTAGTGCTACAGTACTTTAGGGTTTGGTGTCTGAAGGCCTGACTGCTGCATGGTTCTACTTAAGATTAGGATTGTTTGGGATCACTTTTTGTGGGGAAGAAAAGAGGGATGGAGACATTTTGACGGCGGGAAAGCTGAGACACTGAACACAGACCCATGCAAAAGTTGGTTGGAGAGGAATAGAAAATATTAATGACTAAATCTAAAACCAGTTCCTAGTTGTTATTAAAACTAGCTACAGTACACTTGGTTTGGGTGCGTTACTCTTCTAGAAGAGAGACTTCAGCTTTGGTAGTGCTTAGCATCCCTTACACCCATCGCGCGGCCGAGGCGTTACGCGCTTTCGGCAGAGCTGCGCTTGGTGTGGGCTGGGCTGGACCCCTCACCTCGGAGGTTCCTGAAGTAGAGTTTGAGCTTCTGCGGCTCGGTGATGCGTCTCCTGGCGAAGTCCGTGCGCGGGTGGCCCTGGGCGCAGTGGTCTGTTTGCAGCAGGTGGAAGAGGCTCGCCATGTTGGGTCCGATCTTCTCCATCAAGCTGTCCTTGATGGTGCTCACAGTCTCTTCGTCGCACTCCAGCAAGCTTCTCACCAGCTTGTTGTAATACCTGCAGGACAGACACCGCTACTCAGTCTCCCGGCGTGACCACAGGAACGAGGCATGAGCTGATCCCAAGCCAACAGCACTGCCCATGCAGCAAGGCTACAGAAATCAGAGTTTTAAGTCGTTCAGGATATGTTCATAGAAACACAGAGGCTGGAATCATAGAATCATAGAATCATAGGATGGCTTGGGTTGGAAGGGACAACAAGGTTCATCAAGTTTCAACCCTCCTGCCACATGCAAGGTTCCCAGCCACTAGATCAAGTGCTAGATCAGGTTGCTCAAGGCCCCATCCAAGCTGGCCTTAAACACCTCCAGGGACAGGGCATCCACAACTTCTCTGGATGATCTGTTCCAGCACCCCACTGGAGTGGCTCAGGATGTGTTCATAGAGTCAGAGAGGTAGAAAAAGAGTTTAAGATCATAGAATCACAGAAGCTTTTGAGTTGAAAGAGACCCTTAAAGGGCCCCCCCTGTGTTAAATAGGGACAGCCACAGCTCCATCAGTGCTCAGACCCCTGTCAGCCTGACCTTAGCTGTCTGCAGGGATGGGGCATCCACCCTGAGGAATTAAGTCAGTGTAACTGGCTTAAGCACGTGTTTTATTCTGCTCAATACCTCAAGCTTCTGAAGATTTAGGAAGAAAAATAATGGCTTCTTTCTAATAGGCAGACACAGCCAGGGTGGCCCTTCCTACAAAAGAATCCATCCCTGTGCTTCCCAGAACCTCTGAGCAGCTCTGGCCCCATCCCCTTTTCTCCTCCCTTCCCTTCCATGCAGAGAAGGACTAGAGGAGGGAGAAGCAGCTCAGCTCAGAGTCTGACAGATGTGTGCACTCCCTGGGGACAGATCTTTAGGACATACAGCTGCCACTTGCAGTGTGCTTTAAATCACACGTGGGGACCTTCTGCTTTTCCCTGTAGCATGCTTGCCTACTGCTGCTATCTCAGCCCCAAGCACACGTTCTTTGCAGGAGGAGGGAGCCAGGAAATTGTGCTGATTTGTTTCCCCAGCACTGCTTGAGCCGAGTGGAGCATGGAGCCATGGCAGCACACAGCCCTGCGTGCACCTCATGCATCATCCTCCTACAGGCAGAAAGTTGGGAAAAGAGGGGCAGTCCCACATGTTCTGGGCCACTTCTGCCTGAAGGGACAACGGGGAACTTATTTTAAGCCTTTAAGGTCACTGTGACATTTTTCCACGGGAGCAGAGAAGAGAATAACCTGCAGGAGGAGGAGGGGAAGGAAGAGGGAAATGGGACTTTGCATTCAAGCTCCTTTCCTTGCGCTCAGCTCTGTCCTTTAGAGCTGTCAGTGGAGGTCAGGTGAGGTTAAATTTCTCCTGCACTCGAAGTACAAAAGAGCATGGCAGTACTGCCACTGGATTCATGCATGTGCATGGTGAATGCGTCTGTGCAAACCATGCAAGAACAGATCCTACCCACTGCCCAGCACCATGCAATCACATCAGAGTGCTTTCCACTGCTGGAGCTGCAACCTGGCGGCTGCTGATACCTCTCTAGACTGAAAGCAAAGGCAGCAAGGCTTTCCTCTGCCCATGCCATGAGATTAAATCACAGGAAGATGCTATGACCTTTAACTACTTCCTCCTGGCGTCCCAGGCCAAGTGGCACATTCTTATTCTGACGCTATGTTGGGACAGGGGCTGGGAAAGCAGGATGCTTTAGGAGACCTTCATGTAAACTATTAGCTGGGAAATCCTGCTGCTTTTGTTACTCAACATGTCATAATATCCTTTGGCTTTGAGGCGGGCTGGCGGCGGTGGGGGAGGCGTTCCCTCAGCCTGGGGACAGAGCAGCTCTGCGTTAGGCATGGGAGGAACATCCCAAACACATGCAGCACCACTGTTGCTCCCTCTATGGTCCTTGTCCCTACGTCCCCCTTTGCCCCATTGCCCTGCAGCCCTGCTATCCCTGGTGCAAACTGCAAAATGCTGCTGCTCTACATCCAAACCCACATTTATTTGGGGGAAGAAAGGAGAAAAAGCCACACTGGAGCTCCTGGCTTGGTGGACAATGAGTTCGGTCACTTATCAACTCCCTCCTTGCTGGAGGAATTGCCTTCCCCAGTGTATGATTTTCTGGATATCTACAATGCAGTTTTCAGTGACGAGTTCACCCTGGACAGAGATGAAACACCTATATATCATCATCCCACCTGTGCTCACATAGGTCTGAAGGCTTAGTATGCTTCTCGATGAAGTCAAACTGCCAGCCCAGAGGAGCTCCAGCAGCCAGCCAACACGTTACATTGCAGCTCGGTCTGTTTGCACTCAAATTCTAAGAGCATATTTACTCAAACTGCTCAAAAAGATCCCTTTTATCCCAATCACAAGACTCAGCACTGATTGTTCCAGGATTTAGAGGAAGAAATCCCTGCCCTTGCAGCGTGACTGCGCAGACTGCAGCAGCTCCCTGAAGCCTCTCTCTGTCCCTTGTCCTTGGAGATGGGGACAGGTCAGGTCTGTGCTCAGATAAAGCACAGAGAGCAGCGTGACGTGGCCATTCCTGCAGGCAGCCCTTGCTAGCAAGGAGGAACAGGGGTGAAACAACCCTAAAAGAGACCATTAGGAACACCAGACTATCTCTAGAATATGCTCTACTGGCTCATGCCACAATAAGGTTATAGAATCTGTTCACTGGTTCCCTTTCAGCCTTCCTAATTCTTCATATCTGGACCTTTATTTGACACCAAGCTCATTTGCAAGGTGCCATAAAACCAAAAAAGAAGAGAATAAAGTTGCAATAGGTTGAGTAGCTCTTATGTGCTCAGTATGATGGACGCTATATTAATCACACTGGATTGGTATTGAAAAGGTCTGTTTGCCTTCTGCATTCAATGAAAAGTCTTCTGCATTCAGACCAAAAGAACCAACATTTAAACCAGCTCCAGGCATTGAAGCAATGTATGTCAATGTCAATTTTACAATTCTCCCATGGAGATGTTTATAAGTGTATTTACCGAAAAGAGAATCAGAAGAATGCTGGTAAAAATTAACAAGGACTTGAAAAGCCACAGCATTACAGAGGCTGAGCTGCATTAGGGCTCTTAAGAACTTACAAACGTGAGGAATCAAGTTGACTTTCTCTATGCTTACCATTTTTGTGTTGGATCACATGATGGGTTGGGTTGGAAGGGACCTCAAAGATTATAGAACCATAGGATGGGATGGGTTGGAAGAGACCTTGAAGATTATAGAACCATAGGGTGGAATGGGTTGGAAGGGACCTCAAGGATTATAGAACCATAAGATGGAATGGATTGGAAGGGACCTTAAATACCGTCCAGTTCCAACTGGATTTTCGTGTTGGATTTTGTGTTGCATTCTGGCCACGTACCGGTTTGAGAACTGATTTGGGAGCTGCACGACCTCTGTGATGGCTTCAGGATTCCGCTTTGCAATGCCACACATGTCCAGCTTGCTGTAGCACTCCTCCTGCACTTCGGAGATCATTCTTTGGAACGTGGAGCACCTCCGGATGGCGAGGAACACCTTGGACGTGACCCCGTTGGCGATGCATTTCAAGCTTTCTTTCACAAAAGCTTTTCCCTGCAACAGAAGAAAAACCTTAAAATGCAATAGATTTCATAGAAAGGGGTGTAATAACAAACGCTCTGCTATGGCTGGCTGCTATTAATTACCCTTCCTGCAATTACAGACCTGCTGGAGGCCTCTTAGCAAGCATGGCAGGGAGCTGGACCACAAGTGCTCACTATTATTACAGCGTAGTTAGGAGGCAGAACAGCGAGCTCCTGTTCCCAACAGCTTTAAGCAATGGAAGCATTGGTGTGAGCAGCCCACGGCACTGGGAGTACCAGCACCAGGGATGGACCTAATCCTGCCCTCCACTCTGTATACCAGGGGCTGGACACATGGGAACACGTACACTTGGGGATGAAAATGATGGAAAAGAACCTTTGGCAGAACCACAGAGCTGTGATATTCTCCTATTCATCCTGCTGCAGCTCTGGAGGGGCTGATCTGGCTGTGCATTCCCAGACCCAGAGACTTCCAATTCAAACCCCAGCCCCGTGCCAGGTCCCACAGTCAGAAGACTCACTTTGTTCAAAGAACGTTTATATTTCCTCCTGAAGAGGAAACTTCGCTCTCCGCCCCACTCAACGCTCCCTGCCAAGTCCTCACACATAGAGTACAGTATGTGGAAAATGTACTGCAGAAAATAGCCCTGAAGGATGCGCTCGTGGCCAAAACCCAATGCTGTGGTTCAGAGGAGCGGCCAAGAAGAACTGCAAGAAAGGAAGGGTTAAGCCTGCACAGAGGAAAGAGAAATGAAGGCGTACCATACCTGAGTGTCAAATTTAGCAGCGCTGTAGAGGAAGGACTTGCAGATGTCGTACATTCCATCCGTGTCACACGTGGAGTTCTCCAGGCAGGCAAAGGCCCCACAGCCCACCTGGAGGGCACTGTTCAGGCAGCGAACCACCTCGGCTGCAGAGAGAAGCACAAGGTTAGTGCCCATCACCAATACCAAGCTGTGGGCCGTGGCATGCCCAACTGTTGGCCAACTGTTCCTTGGGATGGGGAGAGAGGGGACAAAGAGAGGCAAAAGGTTCTGCAAAGCAACACAAATCGTGGAACTGAAAACTGAGGAATAGAGCCTTCAACGGCCGAAACATTCAGAGGGTTATTGTGGATTAAAAGAGAGGTGGGAGCTGCTGGTCTTTGGGTAGATGGAGACTTGGAGGTCCATCCCAACCTAATTCTCATGGTGTGCACCTACAGCATTACTCAGAGCTCCTGTGGACAAGGGAGAAGCAAGGAGAACGGGCCCCGTGAGGTCATCCCTAGGGTCATCACAGAATCATACAGTGACTGAGTTGGAAGGGACCTTAATGATCAGAGAGCCACAGGACTGGTTGGGTTGGAAGGGACCTTAAAGATCATCTACTTCCAATGCCCTGACGTGTTAATTTTCAGTACCACAAAGGACTTGAACAAGGAGCTTGGTTCTATCATGGTACCCAGCAATGCACAAGTGTAGCCAAGAAAGGTTAGGCAGCTGAAGATTTGCACAGAGAAGCGACATGTGGGCACAGAAAGTTAAGGCAATGGAGATGACCATGCATAATTAACATCTGTGAGGCAGGAGCCGGTCTGTGCAGAGGGATATCCATGTCATCCCATCTTTTTTAGTGCAGATAGTATGCATTTTAACAATGAATCAGCAGTATTGCCACATGATTGCCCCGAAGTTAGTAGGGATTAACCTTTTTTGGTAAACTGAACATCTGTCCCCTTATGTGTCTGTGCAAGGCATATTCATTACTTTTGCAGATCGTGTTACCAGACATTCTTTAGGAAGAAATGCAAACCCAGAGTCTCCCATCGAGATCCTAGGTGTGGGAAAAGTGAGGGTTTGCATTTAGTGGAAGAGGGCACACCTTACACAGAACTAAGTTGTAGCCTAAAGATGTATCTCATAACCAGGAGAAAATAAAATTAACAAAAATCACCCAATTAACCCCTCCTCACGCTCTGTTCCTGCTTACACGCCTGAAGGGAGAAATATTTGGTAAGATCATCCTCTTCCCAGTTCATAACCTCACCAGTCATTCCCATAATTATGCTTCCACAGGTTCAAATTATAACTTTGCTTTCAGCAGACTTAGTATGCATTAAGCTTTTATTGTTTTAGGCACAGTGCAATAGTGAGACCCTATGTTTCTATAGCAACCAAATACAAAAGGAAATTGAGCAAACACCCTAGTATAATGCTGCAGAGCCTTGCAGATCTAAAATAAGACATCTGTTAATGAGCTCCAAATTAGAGACATAATATCTTTTCAGTATACTTAGAAGAGAGATTTTTAATTTCCATTGTTCAAGACAATGTGTCCAACTTATCTAAGCATCTATAGTGCTCAAAGTGGAGAGACTCCAGTGCTGACTTGCCAGCAATTTTTTTTTCAATCTATTGTAAAAGCAACTTTGCTAAATGTCACAAACGTATTTTTACAGTACCATCTAACTGATAGCAATCAGTTTGTGGAAATAAATGCTGGCGGCGGACAGTTTCTAGGTTACTGCATTCTTCAAAGTCACACATCTCCCCCCCTCTCTGAGCAGACAGATGTTTGGCAGAACAATGGTTCAGCCAAATTTCCACGGATTTTATCAACTTCCTAAAAAGCAAAGAATTTCACCGCAGGGGAGTTGGACTGGATGACCTTTAAGGGTCCCTTCCAACTCAGGAGATTCTGTGGTTCTATGGATTTAAAGTAGAATTGCGACGGGAGAAGAGAGAGATACATGCAAGCAGAAGGGGAAAAAGTGCACAGAACTCATTTAGTAGATGGGGGAGGAGGAGAGAGAATGAATTACATCCTGCAAGCAGAGCACACACCGGTTCCTGACCCAGCTCTGAATGAAGCTATGCACCAACATCATCCTCAACCAACCCCTTACGTTAATGCTTGCTCCTACCAGTTCGTAAGGAAAAGAAAAAACCAAAAACAAATTAGAGGAAAAGATAAAAACAAAAATCAGCAGGAGATACATCTGAAAGAGTGGAACCCATCGGGGCTGAGGCTCAGAGCCCTCCTTCTGGCTGTTACCTGAGTTCTGGGCTGCAACCCTGGGCTTCCTGGGGCTCACAGAGTCATTCTGTTCAGCTTCGTAGGACGCGGACGCACTGATCACCAGCAGCAGCAGCAAACCAGACTTTAGGAGCATTCTCTGACAAGTTTCCGCTAAGTGTGGCTTTTTGGCTTTTTTTTTTTTTTTTTTTGGTCTATGTGTTCTTCCACTCCGGCTCGAGCAAAGATGTGGAGCTGGATGGGGAATGCAAGGAGCGAGTCCGGGGGTTGGGGGACCGCTGCCCGGCAATGCGTGGTGACCCCTCCGGCTGCGCTCAATGGGGGACCGGGAGCAGCGCTGAGGGCTTTTATAGCCGCCCTTATCGGTCCCCCGCGGGCTGCCGAGCCAATCGCGAGGCGTTGGGCAGAGCCAATGGCAGAGTGGACTCATTCAAAGCCCTCCGAAAACTGCAACTTCACAGGAAGAATATTTTCCAGCCCATTAAAAGTACCTGCCAAACAACGAGCATCAAAAAGTTCATCGGTGGGAAAGGGGAAAGGGGAGAAGGGGGGGGGCGGTGGGGGGCGGTGGGGGGGGGGGATGGGAGGGCACTTCCCATGGAGGATTGAGCTCAAGGAAATGACAGCGCGGCCCGAAATCTTCCCCCACTCCTAAAAAGTCACCTGCCCTTTAAGGAAAGATATTTTCCCATCTGTTCGCAGAGATCCCGTGGAAAGAAGGAGGGAGGGGGCTCTGGGCAGCCCCATGGCAGATCCGGGTCCATGGGTGTAGGGAACGGCATCGCCCAGTGCTGTGTGCTCACCCCAACCCCACACCCCCCGCGGCTCACGTAGGCACATGCAAATACCCCAAACCCTGCTCCCCGTGCACAGCGCTCCTTATCTCACACAATTATGTTAATAAAATCACGCGTTCAGCTCAGACCTCAACGCGATCCTATAGAGCTGCTCCTGCTTCGAAGTGAAAGGCTTTCGGGGGGTGTTGGGTGGTTTTCCTCCCCCCCTCGCTCGAATCTGTTCTTCTGATTTCATAACGGGAGGAGGCAGCCTGGTGCCTGAGTTAGGCTTCGTTTTAATGGGCACATAATGAGGATTAGCACACGACAGAACTGATTATCCTATAGCAGAGACAATTTAAGGCTCTGAGTACTTAAGGGATGAAGGTATGAGCAGCAGTCAGGCTGGAAAGAAATCCTGAAGGTGCTCGGAGACAGATTTATAGATAAAAAGTCAGAAATTCCATCCACTTTCAGAAAGTGAAGGGATTTGGATACCAGCTATTACTGATCAGAGAAGAGACGAAATAATCTCATCTCTACAGCGGCAGTGACACAGATCCAACAGATTCCTACACGCATCCATGCATAGAAGTCACATTCAGCTCGGAGGAGCCGACAAAGCAGCCCTGAGTGGAGGTGCAAAAACCCTTTGCCTCATTCATTCATTCCAGTTTATGAACTGCTCAATGGAAAAGCCAATAAGGAAGGAGCAGAAAGGAAAAACCAGGGTTTGACAGCTCTGCTCGTGACAATGGGACCCTCTGGCTCCAAGCGCTGGTGACACTGTTGGTGTCAGCTCCAGTTGGAACAGGAGCAGGAGCGAGGTTGTGCTCCTGCCTTGGGGTCAAAATAACAGCTGGGCCAGATGTTCCAAGAGTGCTCCAAAGGCACTGAAACTGAAGGGTTTCAGGTTTCGGCTCAGCGTTGTGACACTGAGCCAATTTCATTAAATTAAAAAAAAAAAAAAGGAAAAAAAACAAAAAACAAAAAACCCAACAAAAACCAGCCCTGCAAAAGCACTGTGGTTTCTCTGTTTAATAGGACCAGTCCAGTTTGCAAGTGAGAATAATCCCATGGGGTTTGATTCTGATTAAATCAAAAGCAACTCTGGCATTGACTTCAATGGGGGATGAATCACCACCCTATCTAAGTCCTATTTGGAGTGGAAGCATTGCATTTTCCACAAAATTGAATTTCAAATTCAAAGCCCGAATCCTCCACCCCTTCACCCCCAAGGTGAACATTCCTCCTGGTCTTTTTTCAGTGTTTTGATCTGAACTGGAATAGTTTGCAAAGCAAAGCAGATACGTACACAAGCACGTATACATCCTGATTGGAGTCCAAGCAACGAAAGAGTTCCTATAGATCCCATAATACCTCCAACACATTTTCTATTCTTTCTCCTATCGTTATTCCAGGGCTGATTGACTCCTTTAGGTCTGTACACGCTGTAGAGTTCGTACCTGCTGTAGATTTTCAAAGCAACCCATCCTGATGATGAATAGCAATAAAAAGAGATGAAACGTAATGGCAACAAGCACTACTACATGCAGAAAAACTTGCTCAAATCTCCAATCTGTGAAGGCAGCGCTTTCCCTACTGCTTTAAGATAGCTGGAAAACAAATTTGGGAGTGAAGGACCCACACTGTGTTGCTGTAGTAGAAAATTATTTGTGTTCTTTAATACAAGAGCGCATTTGCATGGGTTATTTTGCATACTGAGGGCAATGAGGATCGTAAATCCCCATGAAACTTCCATTTTGCCAATGGGGATTGGCTTCTCTCTTGTACTCTGAGCTCCAAGAAGACTTTGGGACACAAGAAGAGTATCTATTATGGAATATTTAAATGTGGAATCTTTTTTATGGAATATCTATTATGGAAGAACATTTTCCTTAAAAGTCTTCCTTCCTCCTATTAATACATGGCCCAGATCTGAGAAATGCCATCAGGAGAGAAAAAGCCCCTCAAAATAATAATGCAAATAAATATTGTAACTACAAAGATCTGACTCAGCATTTCTAAAGGCTCAGCGTAACCTGCTGGAAGGATTTCCTCCTTCCCCTCCCCTTCAGGATAAATGCTGCCCCAAAGCAGAAGGATTCCTGTTGCAAACCTTTCTTTTCTGCCTGATACATGTAAGGGGGGGGGGGAAAAAAGGGCACTGTTAGTCCTGAGGAGAGCAGCCCCTCCGTGCCGTTCCCATTCAAGAGATCCCATTAAACCAAACACTACTCCCCATTGTACCACCCTTCGCCTATTCCCAAGGTGTTATGATTTTTGTCCGACCTCACAAAGAAACACAAAGGCAGGAGGGAGGAGGTGGAGTTGGGGGGGGGGGGGGG